AGCAATGGAAAAAGAAGTAGAACAATATCAAGACTTTCTCGCAGGAGGATATATAATACAAAATTTTGCGAAACAATTAATCAAAATGTTGCAATTAGGAATAATACCAGAAGAGATAGCAGAAGATTATATTACCAGTATTAATATATTTCAATCATGGAAATTAGGTAAAATTAATCTCAATTTCAGTAAAAAATATAAAAAATTAATTTATCTTAAACATTACTTAAAAGGTCTTTACTAAGCTCATAAAAGAGATCTCTTGGAGTAGATATAGGAATAATGTACCATTTAGCAAATACAATTTATTGTAGGCTTCGATGGCCTGGGGAACCAATGAAAAAATTAACTACTCAAGAAAAAAAAATGCATAATTTAGCTAAAGAATATTGGATATGAGAAAAGCTATTTGGAAAAGAAGATAAACTTAAAAAAGTTTGAGACCATAACTATATTACAGGTAACTATAGAGGTCCAGCCCATAGTATTTGTAATCTTCAACTATGAATCAAACCAGAGGAGTTTAAATTACCAATTCATTTCCATAATTTAGGTAAGTTTAACGCTCATCTTATTTCTCAAGCTATGGAACGAGTAAGCAGAGAAAAGATAATCGCAATTCCTCATAATATAGAAAGTTATCTTACTCTTAATATTAGAAATCAAAGATATATAGATTCTTTACAACTTATGCCTAGATTCCTTGATTCTCATATATCTAACTTAGAAGCTGAATCATGTAAAGAGGAAGTAGATAAAGATGGAAATTCTTTAAACTTACCATGTAAAAAACCCAGTTATCTTTATCGAATTGACTTAGATAGATGTTTTGTTCATCCAGAGAGATTCACTATAACTAGAGAATATGGACCAAAAAGAAGGGATGACTTAGTATTTCGTAAAGCTCTTTTCCTATATAATTGGTTTAATACACTAGAAAAAATGGATGCTACTTCTCTTCCTCCTATTAAGGCTTTTGACAGTATTCTTAACAAATTTAAATGCTCAGAAAAAGCCTATAAAATAGCACAGGAGGTATAGAAATCTTTTGATATAAAAATATTCAGAAATTATCATGACTTTTATCTTAATCTTGACATACTATTATTAGCAGATTGTTTAGAAGGATTTCGCAAATTACTGAAAGGTAAATTTGGATTAGATATTGCTCACTATGTTTTTCTTCCTTCATTTGCAGAAGATGCTTTATATAAAACTACAGAACAAGAGATTGAGCTATTTACTGATAATAATATGTACCTCTTCTGTGAGAAAGGTATCTGAGAAGATATTTCAATAGTAAATAATCGTCAAGTTAAAGCTAATAACCCACAATGTCCTGATTTTGTTCCAGAGTCAGAAGAAGCCATGAAAAAACTCTATACTTGGCTATTATATGTTGATACTAATGCATTATATACTAGAGCAATGATGCAATCTATGCTAACAGGAGGACATAGATGGATAATGCCAGAAGAAACTCCAGACCTTTTTAATAAAATTACCAAGTGGAAGATCTCTGATAATGCAAAAAAAAGCTATATTTTGGAAGTTGATCTTGACTATCTATATAAATTACACAAAGCTCATACTTCATATCCTTTAGCTTCTGAAAATATCAAGATTTCTAAAGAGGAAATGAGTAAGTGTGGACAAGAGATTATTAATAATTTAAAACATTATACAAAGACTAAGAAACTCATTCCAAATTTCACATGAGAAAGCTGAAAAAAGAATGATGATGCTTGAACTAAAACTAGAATATCAATAATCGAATATTTATGATAGATTTATTTTTTATCTATGGCAGAAGAATGTTATATAAGCCCTATAGATACTAAGTATTGGATATTATCTGATAAAATAACTAGTTTGCCATATAGTCATTAGCGTATACAAGTATATAAAAATTTATATTAAATGGAATATC